GGCCGCTGCACTCATCTTTCAGCACCTGTGTCACCTGTGACCTACACCAGCGCCCTTTTTTCCTCTCTTAAACCAGGAAGTGAAACTCTTGACATTAAAAATCTCACCTGGAAGGTCAAACACAGGCCGGATTAACCCAACAACATTCTTCACGGGTCATAAACTTCACCTCAGCAGTTTTCCGAGCCTTCCCGCAAAGATCCGCAGAGACGCAGGCGGCGTGTGTTTATGTGTTCACTCTGTTACTGATAAGAGGGCGATTAGTGCCGATTGATTGATCTCCGTTTGATCGTCGTCCTCGGCAGCTCGCAGTGTGAACGCGGTTAGCTTCCAGTTTAGTGACACACGATTATGCGGCCAAATTATTTTCAATAATAAGTTAGAGCTCTGCGCTGAGACTTACCTGGACGTGTTAAATGTTAGTGAACATTCAAAGCTTCACACGTTGATGAGCAGACAGGAAGTCGGGCAGCAGGGTTATTGTAGCACCATTACATGATTTAAGTTCAGTTATGTGCTCAGAGTTATCGGTCATGCTAATGCTGCAAATTAACCTGCGCGTTCATCCCACGCTACCTGAGTGAAGTTGCCCCCCCCCAATCTTCTTTTTTCAATTTTGTTTGATCTGAAGAAGGTGGGGGTGTGGAGGGGAGGGGAAAACTTCAATCACATTTCCAACCTTTGCTGTGAACCTTTGGAGTTGCTGCTCGGTACAAGAAGCAAGAGGAAGTCTGTCTTTTATTTTGAAAAATAAAACAACTTTTCGAGCACCAAAGCCATGCAGCATCCAATCCAAGTGCAGCAAAGTAACCCCAGCTGCTCAAACGCCACCATCCTGATGTTAGCGTCTTTACATCAGCTAAAGAGAGCTTCTACCTCTGTGAGCCGCTGCTGAGGCCCGTGTCCAGAAACATCTGCATCCACGCCACAGTTTCATGGATTCTTCCTTCACCCGCGCTCCACCTCTGCACCGCCTTTATCAAACCCTCGCTGACAGACGACCAGCACTCTACTGCAAACTAACTTACTATGACAGACATGTTTTTTTTAGCACTTTTAAAATGTAAAAAACACTTTTTTCAAACCTTTGAGTTCAAACGTCTTCAGGTTGTGACACGAATTCATTTCAGTTTTTCAGAGCGTAAATCAGCCCTGAGGATTTCTCATGACACACTTAAATCCAGAACACATAATTTAATATTGTTAAGGAAGCAGAATCAGGATGTGTTAGTCGAGGCGGCTGCAGCCAATCAGTGACATGCAAAAAAACCAAAGTTAAACCCGAACGCTGAGGAAAAGCCCAGAGCGAGGAGAGGAGAGGACGGAGGCGGAGATCAGAAAACGGGGATGGGTGCTCGGATGGAGGAGCTCAGTACCGGCCAATCGTGGAGGGTTTGGACAGACCAGCGGCGGGAGGCAGAGATTGGGAGCTTCGGATTGGAGGAGAGTAAGGAGGAGGAGTGGCCCACAGCGGCATGGGGGAAGGGGAGCGGGTGATTGGCCGGAGAGAAACAGGAACACAGGAATAAAAAAAACAAAACAAACAGAAACTGATCAGAGAGGACGGGACAGGAAACAGCAGCAGCGTTCAGCTCGACAGAGGCGAGCGGCGAGGGTTCTACTTCCTGTCAGGGTCCAGACTCAGGAGTGTTTCTTCGCACCTCACGTACACATGAGTTTGTTTGGCAACACTTTACAACAGCCTGTGACTGAGGCAGAGATCGTTTTAAAAACTAATTCTTTTAGAAACGACAACATCAGCCTATCAGATGTCACGCCCTGATTCGTCACATGACCTTTTCCAAGAAGAAAACAAATACACAGGCTTTATCTGCCAGTGGTTAATTCAGCGCGGATAAACAGCTGCCGCTAAGCTAGCCAGAGCTTCCACCAGTTCACTGCAAGCCCCGCGGCCCCCCGCTGGGCCCAAGCGCCAAGGATGTGTATGTTTATTTTAGCTCACGTAGCTTTTCAGCCATTTTTACACAAAGAAACTATTAAAAACACGAGGCAGATGTTACGGCTTACTGTTCAGCTGATAGCCACCAGCTTATTTTACACGAAGTTCGGATTTTAATTATTTTAATGGCCAACAGGGGGCGCTACTCTGGATGCAAAAAGACTTCAAAGCCATACAGACAACAGGAAACAGCCTCGACTCCTCCGTGCTCTGATGATGATCTGTAATACTGAGTAAAACATAAATTATTCATCAGGAGACAGGATTACACAAGCCGTCAGCCAATCACGGTGCGATCAATCACGAGCTGTTAGCCGATCAGTGTGCGGTGTTCTTGGGTTGTCACTCAGATCCACCCGTCTTTCGTCAAACGCTCAGCTCGAGCCATCCAGAACAAGATTCACCAAACAACCGGTTTCCATCTTTTATACGATGAACAGTTTGGTGCATATAAAAGGCTGAAGCAGCCACAGGTCTAAGAGGTCCTCTGACACAAACGCTAGAAGCTGCTGCACAGTTAAACTCTGCTCCAACCGCCTACAAACAACAACGGCCAGTGTACAGGAAAGGTCATGTGATATTTGTTCCCATGCATGTTGGGCTCATCTAAAACTGAACTCCTTTCTGGATTATCTGCAACCTTAAAAAGAAATCGGTATTTGATTTGTTGAGTGTAGCAGCCGGAACAAAAGCCCAGCTCAACCCAGAAGGCTCAACATTAGAGGACTGGTACGATATTTCTGTGATGCAAAGAATCCTCTGTCTCAAAACAAACAACACATGTTCTGTTTTCTGTAATCAGCCTGCAGACAGGAATGCTGAGGTCAGTGTAGACACATCAAAGCAGTGACAGCTGTGAAACGAACGGTGCTGAGACCGTTTTCAGAGCGGACGAATCCCGAATCTTAACACAGTTTTATGACTGAGATCCCGAGAAAACTAGAGGCTAAACTAAAGGGTGTGTGTGTGTGAGAGAGTGTCTCACCCGTTCTTTGTAGTAGAAGGAGGAGATGGAGACGGTGTCTTTATCCGAGCGAGTCGGGCTGCCGCTGTAAAGCCGCAGAGTGCTCTGAGACTCTGAACGCATCTTCATCGGAGTCAGGACCCCGCTGTGATAGGCCGACAGAGCCGACAGGGACCTGAACACACACACACACACACACACACACACGCAGGTTCGTGTACTTTATCCGAGCTCCATCAAACAGAACCACAACAGTTTATAACCACAGCGAGCATCCGCAGACCTCTCCGCTGTCGGTGTGGATGTTTCATTATCAGACTGATACAACGAAACAAAAAACATCCATTTAAAAGGAAAATGTTTGGATTATGTTAATTTAATGCACTTGTCTTTAATATGTCATAAATACCTGGATAAAAACCAAACTGAGCACATCCATGTCGGCTAAAAATCTTTAAAGTCTCAAAGCCTTCAAGATTAGAGCTGCAGGGACACTTTAAAGTTTGTCTCCGTCATGAGAACAAAACCTGAACGCCATGAAAACAGGCGCTGACACGGGAGGAGATCTGACGCCACTTTGCACAAAGAATTTTCAAAATAAGTTGTAAACTTTGCGTCATTTGTTTCCTACAAATCTGATGTTTGTTTGTTAAAAATTAAAGAAACGTTGACATGATCGTTAAAAAAAAAAAGAGGTGTGGTATCTTACCTGGGAGTGGGCTCTGTGGGCGGGGCAGAGCGGTGCATGGTTATCGGTCGGGTGAAGTAAACGAGACAGCCGGTGCCACAAAAGCGAGCTCCGGATGTCCGAGGGAACGGGATGTTGGCGTCCTGGAAGGAAGCAGAAATCTCCTGTGAGACTTTGAGAGCGTCAGGCAGAAACGCCCCCCTCAAGGATTTATCAGAAGAGTTCAAACCCTTCAGCTGTCACATGGAGAGGACAGAAGAAAACTATCCTGCACAGATGAGGTCCTACCTGGTGCAGGATAGTTTACCTGGTAGGAGCCGTAGGTGTTGGTGACTCGAGGAAACGCCTGCAGGGACGGAGTGACGGGGTTGGACAGGACGAAGGGGCCGGAGGCCGGACTGTCCTCCTGCGTCTGACACAGGAAACAGACAGAGCAGTGATTGGCTGAAATTTTGTTGTTTTGTTTTCCTATACCAACATAAACTTATGTAAAAAATAAACAAAAACAAAAATAATTTACATGAAATTCAACAGAACATCTCTTATCCTTCTCAGGGTCACGGGGGGCAGCTGGAACATATCCCAGCTACTGTAGGGCGAGAGGCGGGTACAACCCGGACAGGTCGCCAGCCTGACGCAGGGCTAACAGAGAGACAACCATTCACATCACAGTCACACCTACAATCAATTCACCAATGAACCAACCCCCCTAACTGCAAGTCTTTGGACTGTGGGAGGAAGCCGGAGAACCGGAGAGAACCCACGCACACGCAGGGAGAGCATGCAAACTCCACACAGGAAGACCCCGGACCACTGCACCACCCTCACCAGAATACAGCAAACAAAGTTTCCCCACAAAACAGAGCCTACACCTGCGAGAGCGAGACAGGTGGCTGGTGAAGGACTTCAGGGCGCAGTTTTAGACACAGACACGTGACGTTATTCTCACCATATCAGACTCCAAGCAGGACACGAGCTGTCGGACGCACGGCTCCAGGCAGTTCTGGTTCCTCTTCACCTTCTGCAGAGACGTGTCTCTGAGGATCTGAGCACAGGTGACGCCTCAAACACCGACCTCACTGAACTACAGCTTCATAACAGTCAGTTTGATTTAAAAAATACAGAAGAAATCAGAGCGCGAGCTGCATGCAGCCTCCAGCATACACAGGTCCGGTTTACTGACAGCGTGATGCGTTCGGGTACCTTCTGGATCTTGGTCTTCATGGAAGAGGGGATGGTCGTCGGGGAGACAAACTGGAAGGTGGGCGCGGCGTTGTTTGGATACTGAGCCGGAAACTTCACCACCAGGTGAACCTGATGGCTCCCGAAATGAGCCGACACCACGCAGCTGTGGTTCAGCGCGTCCATCTACACAACACAAACATCACCAATCGGTCTGAGTTCAATGGTCGTCCATCAGTGAGCTCAGCGCTGTGTTTAAGGTCACCACATTTATACGTTAAATCCAAACTCAGGAGGACTGCTCGCCCTCCTTTGAAACGTTTCTATCATCGGGCGCCAGCTCACCTCCACGTTGACGTTTCTAATCTGCAGGTTGACCAGAGAGAACTCCTGCTGCAGAGTCTGAGCGAGACCCGAACCTGCCGCCGAGTCCTGAAGACCTCCAGCAGACAGAGAGCCATCCTGATCTGAGAGATGCATACAGAAAGGTCAGAGGTCAGACTGTTACATCTGCTTACAGTCAGAGTTGTCTAATATCCTCTGCTGCAGCCTCGCTCGTCCCTGGAACACTTCTTTTTGCGTGCTTTCATATAGTTTCACATTGAGACGTCTGTGTTAGCCGTCAGTGAAACGTTTGAAGTCGTCGTCTCACCCTGCAGGCTCTCCGAGGCGAGGCCCCCGCTCTGCTGGCCCTCCGACTCCTGAGACGACAGAGGCTTCTCCGACTCCGCGGTGAGGGACATCGCGTCCATCAGGTCCTCCTGCACGTCACTGACACACAGCTGCACAACAAAAAAACAACACAGATATCAGCCAATCAAGTCTCTGTGTGAGCTCGTCCCCGTGACGCCGCGTGCTGACCTTCTGCAGCTGAGGATCCACCCTCCATATCCTCAGGGTCTGATCTCTGGACCAGGTGACCAGCTGGTAGTCCTTGGAGCCTGCAGGGGAAACACCGACACGGCGTCACTGAAGAGGAGAGAAAACAGCCACAAACCTCCGCTCTGCTTTTCCACATCTCTGCGGCGAGTTTCACCTTCTTTCTGCGGCCGCCACTGGAACTCCAGCACCACGTCGTCGTGTCCCACGAAGGCGTGGACGGGGCTGTTGAGGTCGAGCGTACTCCACAGTAAAAGGCTGTTCTCCCTCCTCAGCTGAGGAACCATCACCGTGACCAGACCGTTGGAGAACGGCTGACGAGGCAAAAACACACTGAGCTGCTTTTTCCTCCGTTTTATAACCGAGCGCAAATCCAGCGAGTCTGCATGTGACTGAAGGATGCACAGCAAACTGCACAAATCCAGATTTGACCACGGTTATAACCCGCTCGGGGGAGTTACTGAGGCGCTGCGCTTGTTAGCAGGCCGCTAAAGGTTCGCTTGGATCTGAGTGATGTAAATTTCCTCAGCAGGCGAAGACGCCGTGCCCCCCAATTTGTTGTGATCTGATGCTAAGGCAGCAGAAACTGTAAACCCAGGCGAACCAGGAAATATAAGCATTTCACCACGAGCAGCACCCTGCAGCAGGGTGGAGGCCCTGATGGAGGCCATGAAGTCATCATAAAAGTGGACACAGATCAAAGGATCTGAGGGTTTTTCACACACTTCTACACAGCCTGCAGTATTTTTGAAACCAGAGTGGCGCCCCCTGCTGACCATTAACATGAACGCAGGGTTAAAGCACTTCCATGTTTGCTTCACCTGTCAGACCCTGAAGCTTCATCCTTTTTATCCCACTACAGAAGCACAAACGCGAGGCCCATCCCTGCTGTTGATCTGAGTGCGACACTCACCGTGTACCTGGCCTTCCACACCGGCACCTGACACGACAAGATGTTCAGGTACTTCCTGGGCTGCCGGTAATCCCAAAACTGCACAAAAGACGAAAAGTTTATATTTCAGATGTTTTTCTGCTCATGTGCATTTAAAGAATTATTTAAACATGTCTGCGGTGCTTTTGTGTCTCTTTGTGGTGATTTGGGTCTTTCTGTGGTGTTTTTCATCCCTCTGTTTTGGTTTTAGGCGAATCAGCTGGTTGGTTTTGTTCGGTAACACAAGACTCTGAGAGCTTTGAGCGCTCAGGTAGAGTAGAGGTCACACTAACAGACGCAGCTCTGAATTCTGTTTTTCCAGCGTGCGACAGGATGTGAATCTGCTGTTTCTCGAGTGTTTCGTGTGCTTATTTGTGGCCTCTGGGTTTTCTCTGCTCTCACCCTCACTGAGTTGTCCTGGCTGGACGTGGCGAAGATGAACTCGCTGTCCGGATGCCAGTCGAGGCCATGGATCTTGGACAGGTGAGCGGCCACGTATTCCGCCGCCGTGTTCGGCTTCTGCTCAGAGGAAACACGCACCGTGAGACAACCGAGTGCGTTCGCGTGCACACGTCAGCCTGAAGCCAGTGAGTCGGGACGGGAGCGCTCACCCTTTTGTCCCAGATCCGAACGTCACCGTCGTGACTGGACGCCAGCAGATTCTGGTTCTTCTTGTTCCACTTCACCTGAGACGCCCCAGCTGGCAGGAGGGAGAACTCGTTTATAATTAGAGTTAACACTTAAGAGCAGTTATGGTGCATTCAAAGACACTCAGCCATCTGGACGTCTCAGGTTTGCTGTCGTTTATCCAAAAGACAAAAAAAGAAAGAGAAACAAAACAAACCAAACGTAGTAAAAATGTGATTTCTGATTGGATTAAACTCTCAGCCTCTGCTCACAGCTGCATCAGCACATGACAGTAATAACCAATGAAAGGCCGGATTGCAAAAAAGTAATTAGATTACTGTTACTTTCTTGTAAGCACGCTGCACTACTAAACCGTGACTTTGTTTGCGAGCGTCCCATGACGATGACGTCCGAGCATGCGACGTTCGTGGTAACAGACGTGTGCAGATCAACAATGGGTAATATGGAGTGCAGGGAGAGTGCGACTGTGCAGCGTTTAAAGCGTGGAAGTACTCACATTACTTTGAGTTTGATTCCAGAAAAAGTGACAAAAACATCAGCGTCTGCTGTTCACTCTGCGTGGGAGGAAAACTTTCTACAGCGAAGAAAATCCCAAAACTTCTGAGCGAGCAGCGAGCACGCTGCCACGGGAATGTGAAATCCACAGAGAAACCTCCGGATCCTCCCACTGACACGACCGCTACGGCACACCTGCACCAGGGCAAACCTCCACCCGCCCCACTCCTGCTAAACAGGTGACAATAGATTTGTCCTGTCCTGTACTGAATTAAAAGTCCTGAATGTTTGATTTTACTTCTTTCTGCTGTGTTTTACTTGCATCTATTTGAAGTGTAAACACAAAACATTATTTTATTTTCTGCGCTGGAATATATAGAAACTGAAAGGTCTATCACTTTATTACATATTCAGGTTGTGTGTCATGTTTTTAAAAAGTAACTGAGTAACTAATTACTTTTGAAAATAAGTAATCAGTAAAGTAATAAGATTACTTTTTTGGAGAAGTCATCAGTAATTAGTTACTAATTACTTTTTTCAAGTACCTTGACCAACACTGGTCATTACCA